ATTGCCAGTTCCTTGCTTGCTGCAGTACAGTATGACATATTAACTTAGCTGGTAAGCAGTGCATGTGTGCATGGCAAGTGTTAATTTTGTCCATTGCTTCCCAACCCATGTGTAGTGACGACTGCTGCTCTGAGTGCGGCCAGTGACGAGCTAGTCAAGGACTCCGTCTCAGAACGCATGACACAAACGTGTAAGCCTAGTATTGCTGCATAATTAAGAGCAATTTCTCCTACTGCTGACTGCTGAAAATGTTGTGTCCTTCACAACTAGTCTCTTTGTTCTAAGAAGTCTGCCTCTTTCATCGATTCGTGTTTACCTAGCTGCGTTACGCTATTAGTAGCCTATTACCTGTTGTGCAATGGGGCTGGCCTAAAAGCTGCTCGCTCAACAGTTGTGTTTCATGGCATAGAGGGAGAGACGGCAAGCCGCCTCGGCATATTTGCGGATAGAGCTTTTATTAGAAAGGAAAAGGACATATGGATACGAGTTAAGAGTAACTGTCCACCACTGTAACTAGCTACTACAGTAAAAAAAATGCAACAACTAGGCACAAAACTGACAGAGTGCTGAGACATTCGACGACCTGACTCCTAGCTTCAACACATCTCCGTAGCGCTAACCAACAGCCTTCCAACTTGGAAGGTTCAAGGTTAAGAGGAGAGACCAAAGAGGGGAAGGTAAGCGCAACGAAAATGAGCACAAGCTAGTAGTTGAAGCTACAGTCCCACAAGAACAAGAAATGTTGATTGTTACTGGACGATGACGAAACCAGTATTACCTTTCCCTCTTTGGTCTCTCCTTAACACTACGGAGATGTGTTGAAGCCAGGAGTCGGGTCGTCAAATGTTTTAGTGCCTGGTTGTTGCACTTTCTGACTGTATTTAGTATATAGTGACAGTTACTCTACACTCATATCCATACCTCCTTTTCCTTTCTACATTAATTTTATTATTGCCATATTGGCTCAACATCCGAGTTTCAAAGAGCTTTTAGTGGACGACTTAATCCATTTTCGGCAATACTTACAACGATCCAATCAGTCATATTGTAGATCAGGCTATGCTGTGGGTAAGTATACTACTGGCCTTGTATGGCGTATTGTTTGCCAGCGAGTATTTAGCATCATCTACTAGTATTCACTCGTTTGACAGCCAAAGAGTATTTGTGTGGGAGGCTGGGAGTCTCGCACCTGACTTGGTCACGTTGCGCCTGAAGGTCACTAAGACGCGGCCATATACGGTGGAGCCGTCGCAGTTCCATCTACTGTCGACGAAACATGCCCGGTATTGGCTATTCCGGTACATGACAGCCCATGCCTGTAGCACCAAGCCTGTGTTCACTTTTGCCAAAGGGATCCACCTTACTCGGCCTTATTTAAATAAGATACTCTGTCACGCTCTCAACTGTTATCAGGTTAGCTCCCGCTCCATGCCCATTGTTGGAGCGACAGTCCTGGAATCCAGAGTTGCAAGTGAGGTGATGATACGGCAAGCAGACGGTGGCAAAGTACGGCTTAAAAGCTCTACATCTGGCAAGTGGCCGGCATACCACCCCAATGGACATTGGAACAGTACACGTAGAGTAGCATCTCTACGTGACAGGGTACGAGCGCAAGTGAGTTCTAATGCTCTACTAATGTGCATTGATTCTGTGACAATAGTTGGTGTACAGATCTCATCACATGTGCCTTAGGTGGGATTTGCTATTGTCACTGTAAAATTCAGCCCTAACAAACAGTGTGATGGATGAATTTGACTCCAGGTATCTGCTTTTGGGAATGCCATGTATGCATGTCTGGCGTGCTGCTGCTATAATGTTGTGGCAGCAGCATTTTGGTGCGATGGACTGTTCTTGTAACGGTGTACCTACCCATTTGCTGTTGCCGGATGCCGTGTTTTGTCAGTTGTGCCTGTTTGAAGGTGCCAGGCCAGCTTGTGTTGGTGCGTTCCCGTTAAGTTGCCAGGGCACCATATTTGTAACGGCGTTCCCGTTTTGCTGTTGTGGGCTGTGTTTGTATCGGTGTGTTCCCGTTGAAGTTGACGGGGCACCACGTTAGTGGATTGTGCCTGTTTGAAGTTGCCAGGCCAATCCTGTAACGCACACCCGTTTGCTGATAATTGGGGACATGTTTGTCCATTTTGCTCGAGATTCACATGGCTGCGCCAGTTGCCTTGTGCGGATTAGACTGTTATCTGGCACTAGTCTTGATCTGTTTTATTCAGATTCAGATCAGCTATTGTTCCTATACGAGAAAATCTGTGGGTGCACATCCAATTCATTTGCAGATTTGCGTGCTTCTCCTGCAACGGGCGTTTACATGGTACATGGTGTGTGGGCGTATGTGTGGTGTGTTCATGCTGTACAGGCCAGTATTGCCAAGCACTGGGGACCTTTGGCAATCTGAAGAATGTTTTGTCCGAGAATCGATCCTTGGATCTGTGGCGTTGCAGTTGTGGTGCTCCCGACCCTCTTGCGCGATGGCCGCGGAGACTTGGCGAAAAGGTTCGAGACGTACGGCATCTCAATATCTTCCACCACAATCAGTACATCAGCACCACCATCGAGTGTAGCGACATCAGCAATAGAAGACGCACATGATAATTATCATTCACCCTTACGGCCTTAGCGAAGACCCGGGAATACCTGAGAAGATGTTAGCCGCAACTTTACTGGAAAAGTCGTCGGTGACAACGGCACTCCATATTTTAGCTGCATGCAGTTAGGTCTCTCAACAAGTGTACCCAAAGTTTTCAAGCTAATACACAAGCAAATTCACTAGGGGCCGAGTATATTTTCCTACATCTCTCCCTGTTTGTTGTTGTTATTTCTGCATTCAAATTGTTTGTGTACCTGTACATTTATTACAGTAAAGCCACGTATCCACGGCTGTTGTTTCCAAGGTCAGGTTCGTCAGTTATACAAAACCTTTCAGCAATCTGGCCTTAGGCTTAGTTCCTTGACTTCTTGTACCACCTTCTTAGATGCACATCCCACTGGATAGTGAGCAATACGTGTGTAGCAGAATCTGTATTCCAGAAAAGCAGAGACTTGAGTCTATTGACACTGCGTTTCGTTTTAAAACGTTATTGGCTGTGGTGTTCCTAGAGGTATACTATACACGTACATTCCTGGGTCCCACGTTCTGTGACGCCCGACTGTATTCGTGGTGCCTCAACAACTTTTAATTTTGTGCACTCGGGAAAACCTGCCTGAGGCTGTGAGGCTGCAGAGTGTTGGCTGTGTTTTGCTTTAAAAAACCATCAGGTCTCCCCAGATTTTCTAGTCTGGCCCTGAATTTTGCCACTCTTCGGTTTCAAAACCTAGTTTGGTGGTGGAAAGCCTAGCAGTGTTGTGTGTGCATGTGTGTATTTTGTACAGTGCTGGCCAGAGAAATCCAACCTCGTTAATAAAGTAGCGCCGCGTTCGAGAGCACAGACCGGTCCAGTATGTTTACTACTAGGGCTGCGTAGCGCCCGGTGCAATTTTATTCATAAGGTTGGATTTCTTTGGCCAGCACTGTAGTTAGAAGTAGGTCCTCTAAGGTCCTCTGTTTGTGCGCAATTGTGGTCACAGTGGCAGTAGTGGGTGAGGGGTAGACTCAGTTACTACGAAGATGGTGTATACATGATGGTGTATACAGTCATGTAGTTGAATGTTACTTCGGGCTTAGACCCAGAGGTTCTTGCAATGATGACCCCGGGTTTATGTACATGTATCATTCAGCTACCGTTGTCATAATGGCACTAGTTGATAGAACACCTGTATAAGTACAGGCTGTATATCTAGCATTTTCCAAAATAGCACTCCGTACTTCGAGGCTGCAGCCGTTTTGCATGCAACGTTGTATGTGTTGATCGGTTGACAGCATGTGACAAAGCCGAGGACACACTAGTGTATCAGGAGCACTGTTTTTTAACACAGTGCGTCCCCCGCCTTGTCATGTTAATTTATCAAACAAGGCTTACCTATACCAACATTATACATGTAGGGCTGTGCATGCTTTCAAAATTCTTCCTTGTTGAAGTAGAATACCGTGCTTGTGGGGGCTTTAGTAGTTCCTTTGCCAGATGTTCTATGCGTATCTCAATGACTTATCAGTTTCAGCACTCGGGCAAGGCACATTCGGGCCTACACATGTAGCCTTGAATTCTGGCTTGGAGGCATTATTTATCTATTTTCATGGCTGCTAGGTTCATCCTTAGTTAAGAGTTATTTCTCCGTGATTCGCTGATGAGTCCACAAAGGACGAAACAGCTAGACAGTACTAGTGCTGTCCCCAGATCGTGTATTCTAAATCCATAATACTGACGCTCAATCTCCAGACAGCTGTTTCAGCCTTTTTAGGTCCCATCAGTGGAGCTCAGAGCGGGAGGTTAAACAAATGGCAATACGGTCTATATGAAATGAACAAAAAAGCAATTTGAAAATGGCTCAAAGCATCAAAGTCAGCGAGCTATCTGCAAGACACGCACAAAGAGAGCTTTGCACGAAGGCAGATACATATTACATATACCTTTGACACTAACCAAAAAGAGTGCTCAATCAAGTCAACGCAAGGCAGCGTAATGCGGTGATCGAGTCAATAAAAAGCTATAGTGACATGTAGCCAGGCCCCCAGCACAATAAGCTGACTTGCATCATGCTAAAATCGTTCACACAAATCTCTTATAATAATTATTATATAGATTGCAGGATAGGGTGGTTGCACCAGGAAGTGCTGTTTCTGCGATAGTGGGACCAGCCAAGATTGCAGTACAGTCGTCCACCATCAATCCAGCACTTCATTGGCCCACGCCCTCGATACACCAGCATGATTTCCGGAGTTATTACCATTCATTGACACATGCCCCCCCCCCCAGTTCTTCGGCACCTGACCCGAGTTCTATTTGGGCCGCACTACTTTGTAGCAGTCATACTATAGTACTAGAACTGGATGCACGTGATATCCACTGGAGCTGGCGCTGGCCATGAGCTGACCCACCGCCGTGCCTCCCAGTGTCAATTTTGCTTATGTGATCCTACCACAATCTGGAACATTATCAGTACTCGCCTCTGTTGACTTGCCAGCACTAGTTCTGGTGGATCCGGGCATGTTTCTGCCTTCTCTTAAGCATGTATTCTCCTGCAGGTGCATCTTTCACCTCCTTCTAATGCGCGAGCACATTTTCTGTGGAGATTCAACGACACATAGACCAGAAAATACAGAACGGAACAGTGGCTGCCAATGCGACACAAGTACCACATAGACCTAAAAACTCATAAGTACCCTGGGAGTTAGATGCATTTACGGGAAGTATGCCAGGATTTGCGCAGCTAATTTAAAATCAGATTAGCAATGCTGTGTGCTACCTAGGTGGCATCTTGGACTCAAAAACCAACCGATTGTGGTCCACCCCAACCGACAGCGTTGTCGGTGGGTTCCGGTTGGCAGGTGTTGGATGGACATATGATCCATGCGTCCCCACAAGCAATGAGAAGTTAACAATGCCACTAAGGATATAATATCGCGGACAGCAGTACAATGAAACTGGGCCATTCATTATCAGCAATATCAGGGGTATATCCCATCCGATAAGACGTACAGCTCGTGTATGGCAGACTTTACAGCAGGTCCCGACATAGCTTGCCCCGTGCCCTTTACCACTCCTGGGCCAAAACTGTTGTACAATACTCGAGAGGGTCTAGCCTAGTGAGTGTGAACAGAACCTGGCAAACCATATCTCCAAGTGATTCACATGTTGGTATATTCTCCGTTATCATACATCAATTCCGAGCAATTTGACACCCGAATATTCTCGCACCACTACTGCTGAAGTATTGACCACAAACCATGTTCCATTTGACTTACAAACGGAACTTGCAAAAGGCATGAGAGCACTGGAATCTGTAAAGACTCTCACATTATTAGCCACCATACATACCTTTCGGGAAGTCGTGTTGGAAGCAGAATGCTCGGAGAGCAGAGCTGAGTGAGATCTGCATACAGTAACACAGCGACAATGAATCACATGAACAGAAGGTATCCGTACACATCTGAATATGTGCTTATGGGAGGAAAATTCGTGCGACAAAAGAGGATCGTGCTATGCAGGTGTATGTCTTACCCGGGTACGTACTAAGTGAGTTCCACCGTACGTATATAATTGTATTGCAATTGAATCACTTTACTGACTGGAGCCAAAAATATCAATTGGCACTTACTCCGGTTACCCGAATGTTTCGGTACCACTATCATTAGGTTTGTTGCAATCGAACCAAGTCATAGTTGAGTCATTTTCATTGCGTTAGGTGTTACCTGACGTGCCCACTGCATCAGCCGCTATGTCAGATTCCACCAGGCATGCACCAAACCAGGCGCAATGCGCACACTGATGATGGTGGTTGTCACACAACGAGCAGTAGTAAAAGTGAAAGCACATTTTGCATGTGATTTTGTTGTAATTTGTGCCTGTCGAATTGTCTCAGTGTAACTAGTTTATCGTTAGCTTACTACTTGTAGTTTGTTTATACAAAAGAGAAAGACCAAGGAACTACAAGTTACGCTATACTGTCCACTAACACCACCAGTTACTAAACAATCAGCTCATGCGATAGCATTGCACGACACTGAACAGCTCTAGCACATCTTGGATGCGCACTCCAACAGCCTTGTGGACGACGACCGTCACTGGAGAATCGGTCCGTCGCTCCACCAGCCCGGCGGCACAGTGGACAGTGCCTTGGGGGTGTCAGGCATGGATCAGGCTGATAAGGACGTGGTGGAGACGGAAATGATGTTTGCAAGGAAGAGTGATGATATGCGTATATGCTCTCCGCCAGTTGTTGAAGCAACAGTCCGGCAGTGGAAAGTCGGCAAGGTTAAAATAAGTGACCAACTGGGTGAAAGTACACCAAATGTGGCCCATCTCTTGAATGGTGCGGACCACGGCAAGGACCTGAAGTTGAAGGTCGTCAATGGCAACACCGCATGGTCGACGTCAATGGGAACATCAAGCCATCAAGTTGGTGGAACTATGGAATGTCCGTCGCAGGCTGCAGCGACAGGGTAACGTGCTCAGGGAAGAGTACAGCGACGATGATCAGCTGTGTCTTGCACGCAGTCGTGTTGAACGTGGCGTGCAGAACAACAGAGACAGTTGCGGTATTCGTACATTTGTCTGTTTAGGATTGTGATCCCCAGGAAGTCCTTTGGTGAGGAGTGATGTCACGCAACGAGCAGTAGTCAAAGTGAAAGGACTTCTTGCATGTGATTTTGTTGTAATTTTGTAAGGTGTGGTGGCAGAACTTTCAGCTGGTAGTGGGTGATGGGCTGGCGGTGTGACAACAATTACGGGCTTGACGAACGACATAATTATGGCGAGTCGATCTTTGGCCAGTTGCTGAGTTGGAGATTGTCACCGTAGACCCAGAGATCTGGTCCACGGTCCAGGGGTTGGGATCCCACTGTGGTGAGAGCTTGTGTGCCTGCTCATTGCGGCGTAAGACGCGCTGACCAGGAGTGAGGATGGGGGTGTTTGACCGGCGGGTGGCATTGGCAGCGTCGCACTGGGATTGGCGGAATTGCTGGTCACGGTGGGCAGCTGAAGGCAAGTCTGGTGCGGCTGCCGTAATGCAGGGTAGGCTGTCGCGGATGGGGCGACCAAACATGAGTGTTGCCGGTGCCTCGTGAGTGGCAGGGTGTGGCGTGGTGCGGTACGCTAGGAGCCATTGGTCTAATGCAACATTGATGTCTTCGCCAGCTAGTTTGGCAGTTCGCAGAACTTTGCCAATGGTACGGTTGAGGCACTCGACTGCTCCGTTTGCTTGTGGCCACAAAGGAGGGGTGTGGCGGTGCTGGATAGCGTGTTGCGCGAGGAAATCAGCAAAAGCCGAAGAACGGAACTGAGGACTGTTGTCCGAGACTAGCTCTTCGGGCAAGTCGAACCTGGATAATGTAGAGCGCAGAGCTTTAACAACACCGGCCGTAGTGGGTGTCGTGCTGAACACGTTGATGACCGGGTAGCGAGTCAACTGGTCGATAGGGGCAAGCAGGTGCTGACCGTTAGGCATGGGTCCATACAAATCGACGAAGACTCGTTGCCACGGCTTGGTGGACGGTGGTGTGGGCACGGACTCCCGGACGTAGCGGTGTCGTTGAGAGAGTTGCTTGGCACGGAATACATTGCCGGCAGAGTGCTTCGGCTTCAGTAGCCATGTTGGGCCACCAAACCTTGCTGTTAAGCCATTGCTTGGTGCGGACAATATCTTGGTGGCCCGCATGTGTAAGCTGCAGGGTAAGCCGTTGGAGGGCCGTGGGAATGACGAGACGGTCGTTGCGGAGTAGTAGACCGTCACTCTCAGACAGTTCATGGCGGAGGGCAAAGTACGGGCGGACCGTGGTGTGGTTGGAATCCCAGCGGCCAGATTGCAGAGAGGAAAGGATGGCTTGCAGTGTGGTGTCTGCGGTGGTGGCGTCCGCAATCTCCTTCAGAGCCAACGCATTCGGCTTAGCTGCTGTAGCTAGGGCATGTATGTACGCAGTGTCTTCCTGTGCGCCGATGGTTGGCAAGTCGGGATGAGGCTGCAGATTGCGACTGACGACGTCGGCCGGGTTTTCTGGGCCAGGCTTGTACTGGAGCTGGAAGCTGAGATCCTGCAGGCGGAGGACCATGCGCTCAATTCGTGGCGGAGGTCTCGATCCGACGGCCATGAGTTGCAGGAGCGGCTTGTGGTCGGTGACAATGGTGAACTGTGGATCACCTTGTCAAGTAGTGGTGAAAGCGAAGGCAGCCAAACTTGACACCCAATGCTTCCCGTTCAGTTTGATAATATTGCTGCTCAACGCCGGAGAGTGCACGGCTGGCGAATGCTACAGGTGCATCGTGGCCGTTGTCTTGGTGTTGACACAGGATTGCGCCGAGGCCGGTGGGCGATGCGTCGACATACAGTGATGTGTATCGCTTGCGGTCAAAGTATTGCAGCATGCAGTCTTCGGCGATGGCCTTCTTCAGTGCATCAAATGATTGCTGCTCAACATCAGTTTAACGCCAAACAGTACCTTTTTTAGTGAGAGCAGGGAGTGGCGTGGTGAGATCGGCCATGTTACGAATGTAACGGCGGAGGAAGTTGGTGAGACCCAGGAAACTCTGTATGTCGCTGACGCAAGATGGCGTAGAGAATGTAGCCACAGACTGCTGGTGGCTGGGAGAGGCGCGGATGCCCTTGTCGGATTAGACGCTAGCCATGAACTTGAGCCGAGGCTTGAGGATGTGACATTTGTGACATTTGGCTAGGTTGAGTGTAACGTTGTGATCTTGGAGCCGCTGGAGGCAGGCGGCGAGTCGTCGGTTGTGCTCTTCGACGCTCTTACCAAAGTTGAAGATGTTGTCGTGGACGTTCTTCACACCGTCAAGGCCAGCGAGCCATGGCGTCCAGTGTGCGCTGTAGGATCTCGGATGCGGACGATACGCCCATGGGCAGACGTTTACAGTGCAAAACTGCGTAGCGACGTGACTCAGGGTGGCCTGGCTCTCCACAGCGGTAGGAGAGCGATGTGCTGGATTCCCGCTGGCCTGGAGCGCGAGTGGCGACTGGGGCAGGTGGCTGGTGGTACGAGTTTGCAGCTGGATGTGGCGAAGACTGCATCGGTCGACGCGACGGAGTTGAAACAGTAGCGGGAGGCGGCTGTGTCCTTTTGTAGAACGGTGGCTGATGACGGAGGGCATTGATCGAGTCTTGTGTGTGCCGGAACGCCGTCGTCTGTTCCACTGACGCTTCAAATGCTCTGGCGGCCTTGAGCGCCTTGGCGAGATCAAGGGACGCAGTCTCCAGCAGTTTTCTGCGGAGTGGATCGGACGTGCATCCTGCCACAATTTGATCACAGAGAGCCACGTTCTTCTGGGCATCGCCGGCGAAGCTGCAGGTCGTTGCCGATGCCAGCAAACGAGTATAAAACGTGTCTAACGTTTCGCCAGGCTGCTGGGTGACCTGCCGGAAGTGGAAGCGGGCCATGCTGGGGCTCTGCTTCGACTGAAAGTAGTCGGCGGCCGCGGTTATGAGGCCGTCGAGATTGTTGCCAGTGTTGGCTAACGTAGGGACGAGCTGCTGGATGTCCTTGCCGGCCACATACTGGAAAGTGTCTCTCTGGCGAGTGTCATCCGAGATGCCGGCTGCTGCGACATAGAGTTGGAAACACCGTTCCCAGGCAAGAAAATGGGCAGCAGCGTCGTAGAGACTGCTGTAGATCGGGAATGGCTCCGGAGGCGGTAGTGACAGTAGGGACATGGCGAGGATCAGGCGTTTGCTCGCAGCGCCAATGTAATGTTGTTCTCTTGCTGTATTCCAAACAACAACTAGCTCGGAGCTCCGGAAAGTTCCGCAATAGTGAGGTTTTGCATTCCGAATTTCGGCTCGGCGTTCTTTGGTCATTTGTCGAACATCAAAATGTCGAATTTTCGCACCGACATTTGTTTTGCAAGTCGAAAATGATGTGTTTTGATTTCGTGAGCCCCAGCATCAGCAATGTCCTGTCCCGTGCTCCTTTTCTTGCTGATTCCGACAAACTTTGATCGCGCCCAAAGAGTCGAGGGCTAAACCTGCCTCCTCAGTCGCCTCAGAAAAACCAACTCCATGGCCAAGTCAAATTTTATGGGTATCGCCATAGTCTTTTCAGCCACACAGATGACGGTGAGGACACTCCAGGCGAAAGAGAGTAGACAGGCAGTGAAGAGGAGCAATCAGAGGTAGCTGACGATGCTGATGTCGTCAAAGACGCCTGCGAAGCCATGCCAAGATAAGAAACCTCTTTGAATAAATCACGCGCTAGCGCTCTTCCACAAGAAAATTCATCCGAAAAATATGTTCGGCAAAGTGAGCTTTTTCCGAACAAACATGCCGCATCTTCGTGTGCATTTTCGACCTCGCTCCCGCGTGCCGAATCTTTTGCCGAATTTCGGAATGCAAAACCTCACTAATATGATGCCAACAGAATGTAATGGTGTGCGTGCATGCGTACAGAGTCGGTGCGTACCGACTGTCAGCACAGCTGTGGAAAGCAGCATATGTAAATGGATAGGAGCACAAACGGTGCCGCGTGCATATATGTGTCGGTAGAGCATGAGACTCTTAATCTCAGGGTCGTGGGTTTGAGCCCCATGTTGGGCGCCAAATGTCGTCTCGGTTGGAGAACGAGATGCCTCTACTATATCCTCGCCACGCCACACATCAAACGGACTAGTCAAGTGGTTTTTCTCTAGAGCTAGAGAGAGAGCTATTCATTACTACACTTCAGGAGACGACGGGAGAACTGACAACTGACATGGCGAAAGGAAACATGATATCGGAAAGTGGTGCCCTCATCAGCACAAAAAGTGGCGTACTCGATATCATATCAGCACAAAAAGGTGCACGTGTCAGCAATACAACAAAGCAGCGCAGCAGCATGTACGGGTCAGCAGCACAGAGACACAAATACAGCAGCAGGTACGACAAAGAGACAACACGTGCAGCCACATGTACAACATATGGGTGTGACAGTCCATATATGTACGTGTGAACACTACACACGATGAGAACATGCAAGTATGGAGACCCAGACTGTGTGGTCAGCAGGACACAGCCCGTACAGGATGGAACAGACAACTAAACGTAATATAGCACCACGTACCGGCGGACTAGTCGACGCTGATGGAAGAAGTGGCACCCCCTGAGGCAGCTACGGATGCTAGAACTCTACAGCCAGAGTGAGTCGGAGTGAGACCAACACCAATATAAAACAAAAAGGTACACCACACCAGGAAGCAAGTCAAATAAAGATGTGTGAACAACAGCCACACACCACAGAAAAGCATACAGAACAAAAACTCAATTACCGACACCATAGACACTGCAAAATCCAAACAGGAGGAAAATACTAACTCCCTGAGGACACTGAGCATGAGGCAAACGAGCAAGCAACCTCTTGCCGATGTTCCACCGTGTAACAACCGCGCTGGCCACCGGACTGTATGGTAGGGGTATTACACCTGGACCTCAAGGCCAACGGGCGAAGGACAGCAGGCCGGGCCCAGGTAAATACAATGAGGAGCACTGTATACAACTACAGAAATAACCCAAACCCATGCCAATTTGACCAACATACATTCCCTGCGCATCCATTCCTAGTGTACGGGTCTGAAAGATGAAAGATGGAGCGCTTGTATACACGGGCCCGGAAAGCCTGCTTCGGCCGCTCGGCAGCAGCTTCGTAGTGGTGGTCAAGGGTCGAAGACCGACGGATACGGATCAACTCCCCAGTGAACACACCTTTGCCCATACTACAGGGGTGGTTACTACCGACAAGCAGATACAGGAAACGATTGGTGACCTTGAAATGAGGCTTCACCGCCATGTATCCCTTACTACGGAAAACTGTGGTGTCCAGGAAATCAATGCCATCATGTGCCAGTTCATGAGAAAACTTGAGGGCCGAACACTTATTATTCCTATCTAAAGTGCGCTGAACTTGACCTTCGAAACCATGCAATGATAAAGCGCCTATAAACCTGAACCTCTAAACCCTCCCCCTCTAAGATCGGCAAAACGTACCGCTTCTCCAAATACAGCATAACAATGTCGGCATAGACCACTGCTGCAGGCGAACCCATGCCAGTCCCTTGGATCTGCCGAAACACATCGTTACCATACACGAACTCATTTTTCTTCCGAATGACTGACATCAAGGAAGTCACTGCTGTTAATAACCATGTACGAAGGGCGAAGGGCATCCACCTTGTACACCTGTGTGTGATATACCACGACAACCGAGCCCGTTGGGGATGTTGGTGTAGTAAAGGCTGGTCACACCTATACTCAATTATAAATGATCGTCCCGCACAGGCAAACCTTCTACCAAGTTGATGAAATCCGCAGTTGAGGTCAGAACAGTACTTTCCTCACATACATACGGGTTCAGTAGAAAGTCAGTGAACTCAGCGGGATAGTAGCCAGGACTATTTAGATTAACAATAGGCCCAACCTTCAGGACCCAGGGCTTATGTGTTTTGAGAAGTCACCTGAAAACGGGCATGCGCCCCCGGTGCGACTAAGAACAGTGACATATATTAGTGGGCATACGATGCTCAATGCGATGCCTAGTCATGGCGAGTAAACAATTGACTCGGGTCGCTCACACGAAGTCTCAACACAGCCTTGAGCCTGTTGGTTGCCATCGGCAGTCTAGCCGCATGCTCATCTAGCCCCTCAGGCAAAAAAACCAGTCATTTATAATGTTTGGCATTGTGATGCTGGGCACAACCTATATCATCATAGTGAGATCCGTCCAGGACTACTATCACAATAGACTGCCTTTGAATATGCCTGAGTCCGATCGCGTTCTAGCTCCCAAACTATGTGCTGCATGTGTACACTCCGCCTATGGTTAGTCTACTCCAGAACAACGCCTGGAGAGGTTCATTGGGGGCATGATGTCCCCCCACCCCATTCCCCCCCTTGCCCCCTGCACCTGAAGTACCGGTATTGCCCCCCCCCCCTCCCCAAACAAATTACAGGACACAGATGGAGCACTGGGGAGCACGTAGCAGTAGGCAAAGTTGACGATGCCAGTGCAGACACGGCCTGACCTCGGTCACCACACTGGCACCGTATAGTCTCAAAGGGACATAGCTACCAGAGAACACACAGAATGGGAGTATATAGTGCTATCTCGGTGGATAGACAACCCCCTATACACAAAATATCTACTGATAGAGTTCTGTGTAGACCCTATGTGCACATATGTGTGGATGAGTACTGGTAAACGGACAGCTAACCCTAGTCTAAGTAAAATAAAGGTAGAATGTAGACCCTGGGCAAAAAAATAAGTAAATAAAAATATTGACAAGTTTGAGGGAAAGACACAAACGGGAAAAGTCTGAAGAAAAAATTGACTGTCACCAAAAAATAATAATAGCTACACACACGAGGGAACTCGGATGGAGAGCCAAGGATTAAAATTGAAAAAGAGGACCATAAGTTTACGAGTTATCCGTTTTGTCCAACACTTACGGATATAAACGTGATGCAGCTAAGCATCAGGTCGTTGAATGTCATGATCTCATCAGTCAGTTTTTGTGCTGATTGTTGCACATTTTTGACTCAGCAGTATTCTGCATATAACCGTTAGTGTTGGACAAAACGGATAACTTGTAAACATGAGGGAACACTCATCCTTACCCAAGTCCCAACGTCAGCACTCGGCGCTGCTCCGAACCAAGAGGGACACTGGAGAGATCGTCCATCAGCTCCTCTCTTGTCCTGCGATCAAATCGCCTAATGCTACAAGTAAAACACAAGAAGATAGGAAAGGCAAGTAGAATAAATAAATCAATAAAATAATAAACAACAAAACAAGTTTGAACAGCTGCAAACGTAATGGACGATCCGAACAAGACCAATGATATACCTAGCAATAAGTGTGCAGAGTACGCAGCCCAAGGATAATCATCCCACGGCAAAGTTTATTGTTTAGGGCATAGACTCACAGTAACAGGCTCACCTTTGCTGCATCTCACACCGCTTCACACGGTAATCTACTGTATCACCATGGTAATTTCTGTTGCACATTGCTGCTTGTTTAACAAAAGGCAGAAAACACACCGAATTTCCAGGAATTACCATGGTGATACGGTACTTTAGCTTGAACCTATTGTATGACGGGTTTTCTATGATTCATAATGACCCAGAGAGAAACTAAACCGGTATCGAATTCCTGTCAGCGACGCAATTCTTCTCAGGTGTAAAGTGACTTCAGGAATATGTTGCAGAAAACTGCGATGCATGCTGATTATTTACTGTGCCCTACCGACCACCCCTTGGTGCCAGCAAAAGCGGTCTTTAGTAGTAGGTGGTCTTTAGTTAGAGGTTTGCACCGCGTGACCATATGTGGATCCCATTATATGATATGTATGTCAAAATGCAGCTAATACAATTCCCCAGGACTTGCGCAATGTCAGAAAGACGAAGAGATGGAGAGAGAGAGAGAGAGAGAGAGAAAGAGAGAGAGAGAAGATTAATTTTTTGCAGACTTCAAATTCAGCTGCTACTTCTGAAGCCAGGAGTCAAACGTTCCCTGGGGAAGTTTCGTTTCGCGCTGGGCTTCAAATTTGTTCATGCGATCAATCATACCGACTGTCCTTGTTGTGACTTCTCGATTGCTTGAGCATCAGGACCTTGTGGTGCTGCTTTGTTTCTGGATTCCTTGATGCCATCGTCGATCCGTCTGTATGACTGGGGTGACAGAGCTGCCCAGTCTTCGTTTCTCCTCCGAGTAGTAACATCGATCAGAGAGCGCTTTCGATGCGCTCTCCAAGACGTTTCCTATCATGTTTTTTCTTGACAGCGCTTGAAATTTTGACAGGTGTAGTGCAGTCCACACCGACTCCACAGCCCAAATTACCTGCATTCATTTGTTCAGCTGTAGTATCGAAAGATTCTTTTCAGGACCATGGAAAATCAGTAAAATTTCAAGAAGGAGCTTCGAGCAACATTTGATTTCCTACATCGCGGTCGCTAGTTACGGGTCAAAAATTGTGTTTGGGACAGGAAAAGGCGGTTGCTGGTCGCGTTCAGAAGGTAGTCGCTAGTCACAGTGCATTTTGAATGTGAGACCTTCCGTGCCTGGCGAAGTGGCCGGTAGTACCAGGCTGGTCGCTAGTGACGGTGGTCTTTAGTTACAGGTTTTACTGTATATCCCTTACCGAAATTGTATTCTTGAACGCAATATTCTTCTTTCTTTTTCTTCTACTCCGTTCCATCAGCACTCGGCCGATGGCAGGAGATTGGTACCCACTGGGCTAGCATGCAGCAGCCAAAGCTGGGGCCTTTTCTTACTCCGTCAAACCCACTTCTTAAAACGAAACTGACGTGCATATTCACATTGCATGTTGTGAATGTCCCCATATTTGCCGCGACATCTTAGCTCGTACAGCGCTCCAGATACATCTGTGCTACGGTGCGCACCACATACTCGAATTACGGTACGGGACACATACGGGATACTGCACCAACCATGGCATGCCACGTGAACCACCCTACCAGGCACCGTGACACGCACCGAATTACAGCGGTGTGGATACTGGCTAGCGCCAGATGCTACTAAAGTACAACTGAATAGCGTCTTTTGCATAGCTACGGGAATAATCTCATATCCCAAGCATTGCTGCTCTGCTAATAGAATAATTCAGGTTACTCCCACTCCATTTCTCTAGTGCTTATTTTTCTGAAAAAATATCATCTTTGGCACCAGAATGCTGCCACCAAGACTGCAAGAGTACATTAACCAGAGTGTGCAGCCCAAAGAGAATCATCCCACGGCAAAGTTAATTGTTTAGGGCATAGACTCGCAGTAACAGGCTCACCTTTGCTGCATCTCACACCGCTTCACACGGTCATCTACTCTATCACCATGGTAATTTCTGTGGCACATTGCTGCTTGTTTAACAAAAACGTAGAAAACACACCGAATTTCCAGGTAATTACCATGGTGATACGGTACTTTAGCTTGAACCTATTGTATGACGGGTTTTCTACGATTCATAATGACCTAGGGAATAACTAACAGTTAGCGACGCAATTCTTCTGAGGTGTAAAGTGACTTCAGGAATACATGTATGTTGCAGAAAACTGCGATGCATGCTGATTATTTACTGTGCCCTATTGTGCACCATATACCTGGTGGGTTACTCAGGGATAAAGTAGATGCACACAAGTGCCGTGCATCACGGCACAGGTTAGGTTCGCAACTAGCTGCTACAGAGTACTTGTGGTCCGAACTTGCACTCTACTCAGCTCTGCATACGCAAAGAGTGCTGGTGCCGAAATGAACCAGAAGGGTGCTGAGTGGGACGCAACAACACTGACTCTGTATACCCATGTACAGTCAACTTCGCTAATAACGACTGCGGATATAACGACAATTCGCGAATAACGACAGAATTTCCATGCCCAGAGCAAAGTTCCATCCAACTGTAAAACATAGAATGCGACTTCGGGTATAACGACACTTCGCGAATAAGGACACTTTTCTGATGCCCCGCCGAGTGTCGTTATAAGCGAAGTTGACTGTACACAGATATGATAGGGTATGCAGTACCTGCTCTAAGATTTAACACAAACCGGGTACACGTCTACCTGGCACAACTCCTGCAACACTGGGCCAGGGCCAGATGCGTTCAAGTGCGGCTACTGTGTGTCAGGGAGTCGTAAACTTACTTTCGACTTCCTGATGTACATGATTGTACATGTACATGTATGAACGTACTCGCACTGGGCACTCTGGCCGCACGCATCTGCACGCGTATGCAGCCTGTCAGTGGCGGTATACCCTCGAAGTATAAAAAAGTATAGTACTCGACAGGACTTCCGACCGGGTCGCAGGTAACCCAGTGTTCTTTTTCCAAAAGGTCCAAGTACTCACAAACAGGGCCACTGACCTGGCTCTGGAGCAGACACTGGTAATCTAGGTCCAAGTTTGCTCGATTATGTTCTGACGCTTCATGTGCTTTCATAGCCAAGGTTTCTCACTTACTTCGCAAGCTCTTTTAGTCTTGAGAGTTGACAACTGCTTATGGTTGTGTTGGCAGAAAACATGTCAGCTTATCTGACAACCGTCCAACCCCATTTTACTGGTAAGTAGTCAGCGAGTGGCTTTGATGGGGCCATACTAGAGGGGAAGTTACGCGGCATATTTGTGCTTCCTTTTTGAAAACACGTTCTCGCTCGAAGGGTTTCTAAACTTTATCCCTGCGCTCATTGATGGAGTTCATCGATGGAGTTGCCAGCGGCACTCTACAGAAGAACAATGTCGTCAAGTTTTTTTATGAAAAATTGTCAAACATTTTCAAATTGCTATAAGTTTGGTTAGGGCCGGGTTCCACTGCGGCTCCACAGCTCTGCTGCTCCACGGGTACTTGGCTGCATGCAGCAGAGCGGCGCGGTTCCAGTGACACTCGCCATTCACGGTACCGCGATCGTGCTCGACGTTTTTTGATGACATTTAGCCTGCCTGCGCGTGCGTGAAATCCAAAAAAATCCTCGTGTTCTGGCCTGTGCAACGAATTAAAATCCCCCCCAATAAAACAATTAAGTGCGGGAAACAATGCAAGCCGTGACCGCGGCTTGCATTTTTTTGTATCAAGCAGCGAAGCGAAAGCTGGTGATGAGCCGCGGCCTCGCTGGACCAGCTCGTAATGATGACGTTTCATGCCGTGGATGATGTGCGGCGGAGCGGCAGTGGAACCCAGCCCTTAGGCAAAGGAAATTTGTTATTAATTTGTTTATGCTGCATAGATGGAGAGCTGCACACTCTGGCTTATGGACTCTCGCCTACAGTGTAGTCGTACTGCTAGTGTACTGGCATTTATTAATACAGAAGACACGAAAAACGAGAACATAATTATGGCGAGAAAGTAATTACTGGCTAAGAATTGCTCTAGGACTTACCGCTTCTCAGTGCTCCATACCAGGAAGTAGTACAATACCTACTCCCTGCTCCATACGAGTGTTTTCTCCTCATTCTCTGCATCCTTTACCCCAGGAGTCTCGTCCATTTAGCTGCTCAAATGCTTGAGCTCCGGATAGCGGAAAATAGCTCGTCGTCCATTAGCGGCTCTAATAGTACCTGGTCTGAAGTGTCGCAGTCTAGCAACTATGATTTTTTCCAGGAGGGTAAGGGTTGCAAACCCAAAGAGACCCTAAGCTTCGTCTATCAAACAAAACAATTGCCCTAAAAAATGGAAGAGGAAAAGAGTGAGCGAGCTGGTCTGAGCGCGCTACTTTTCAAAAAATAGAAGCTGAAAGCCATCAAAGTCAAAGCATTCTGGCTAGCGCGTTTGCGTATGTCACGAGCGCTAGCGCGCTAGTCGCAGCAAACGCTCGCAGGCCAGAGTTAGCGCTATTTGGGCTGTTTGCCGCACGCGGCAGCTGGATGGATCACGTGATCCAAGCTGACAAATAAGGTCCGATGGTTCAGCTACATTGAGCCACAAGCGTTGACCAGTGACCACTGGTGACCTGGGCTGGTGACCACACTCCGCAGGCATGGCATGCACAGTCATATCAGCACTACAAGTCGCTCGTTACATGGGCGGTTTCTTATGGTTTGGGCCTGGGTCACCATACCGTGTCGATCTCAACACGGAGTGACTGACTGTGCTGTGAGTGGTGTCGAAGTGAGCAAGCCGTGGACCATGATCGACCTTCATCCTCATACTCTTACCACTTGCAGGGAGTCAGTCAAAGAAAACAAACAGACATAGCAATTCTGAAAAGCAAGGGGTTCGTTGGTATGCCATCACGGCATCAGTGTAGTGAGTGTATGACCTATCGGCGATAGTGCTGGCAGGGGGTATACAGTACAGTAGAAGTGAGACACTGATGACGGTAAACAGTTCCATAGCATGCTGGCTTTTGTAAAAGACTAAGAGGAAAGAGAGAGGAAAAGCGTACTCCGTGGCATGAGAGGGGAATGTCTGCTACATGCACCGGCACTACCACATGTAAAAGGTGTTCTTAAGTGTCTCTTCTGGCAAGTTCTGCTACGAAAGTCAAAGCAGGCAAACATAAAAGGCAAACCCAAGAGGTTGAAGGCGAAAAAGGGAGTTTGCCTGGGCCGGGCTGCAACCTGCTCTACATAGGCAGGCACATGCCATGGACATGGGTAAAATCTTGTTTTGTTGAAAACATGTTGTTGGTTGACACTACAGCATGTGACAAAGCGGAGGACCACTGAGTCTGTGTCCGGAAACAGTGACCTTGCTACTAGCAGTACAACCATCCACGGTTGGCAGAGCCCCTGTATCGTCTACCAAGGTCTACCAGGCATAGAGAGCACCTTCTCGCGACAGTGTCAAGGTCACGTGGTGACAGTAACTGTTGTCAGCTGACGCCTTCCCTATCAAAATAATAAATAACTAATTATACTACTACTACTACTACTACGAGCTGAGAGAGGGACGCCATAGCCTATGCAGAAGTTGGAAAAGGACAGAAAAGAGTATAAAAAGGAAAAGAAGGAAGAACAACTCAGAACAAACGCTACAAAGTGTATGAGGACTGATTATCAAGATGATTCAAGAAGACATCCAAGAGTGAACAAAGAATACACGACTGACGGTACAACAACAAGAAGACTCAAACAACTCCCTTGTACATACATGTACATGTATGTTCCATTTCCGCAATTTTCCGGACTGACAGCACAAACGCCAGATGCAACAAGACTCGATCACATGATCACAAGTAACACAAGTACCGTTAGTTGCACAGGGTGCATCTCACACACGTACACGTACATGTACACTCACAGTCAAGTGACCATGGTGACAAAACCCTCCTGCCGTGTTGATTTCAACAAACGCGCGCTTGATGATAACTCGGATGTTGGTACTGAGCCAATGTCACCTGTAACCCACTCCTCAAACCAAAACAAACACAAGCTTCCTCAAACTCCTGAATGCCGAGTTCCCCGGCTACAAAATTAATATTGATATTATTCTGGTGACTGGTCTTGGGGCACACTGTGACAGTAGAAGCTGGGATATATGCTGTTGGATTTTCGGGGGGGGGGGGCAAATCACTGGACTATTTGTGCCTGTGTCGTGACTGGCTACAAGACCTGTGACTGCTCACAGGGCCTGGACTGCTCACAGGGCCTGGACTGCTCACCGAGGCCTACATGTACACGCACAGCCCAAGCTAGTAGCAAGTATATGACTTGTACTAAGTAAGACCAAGACGGCAAGAGTAAAATAATAAGCTCCCTGGGAGGTTGAATGAAGTTGAAGATACCACTGCAGCTGTACTTATGGTTGATAAAATTTAATAACGGTGGTAAAGACACACCTGGCAATATGGCGGTAAACACACGCCTGCCCACAGTTCTGACACAGAGCTCTCCTTCTGTACGTCGCAATCGAGCTACAATGTATGTCGATTGTCGTTGCTGTGTCATCTTCTATGTGCCATGCGCTACTTGATGTACATGTACCAGCCTGCTATGCCGGATACCGCCAACCATGCATCGACCAGGCGCGGTGGTGGTGGTGGTGGTGGTGGTGGTGAGAAGGGGAGCTCTGTGCCAGAACTTTGCAGCCTAGAGAGCGTGTGTGGGCAGGCGTGTGTTTACCGCCATATTGCCAGGTGTGTCTTTACCACCATACATGTATTTATCAACCATATTAAAGTACTGCTGCAGTGGTGTCTTCAACTTTATTCTCCCGAGGCAAGCTCCGTAAGACCGTATGAAGAGTCAGACATCCAAGTCGCGGACCAAGAAGAAGATTGTCTGATGAATCCAGCGGGGACGAAACGTACGTCGCAATCGAGCTGCATGTCGTTGCTGTGTCATCTTCTATGTGCCATGCGCTACTTGATGGACCAGCCTGCTATGCCGGATACCGCCAACCATGCATCGACCAGGTGCCAGGCGCCAACTGATGGTGGTGGTGAGAAGGAGAGCTCTGTGCCAGAACTTTGCAGCCTAGAGAGCGTGTGTGGGCAGGCGTGTGTTTACCGCCATATTGCCAGGTGTGTCTTCACCACCATAATATTATTATTCCCTGGGAGGTTGGTAAGACTACTAAGTATTTAGGAAATCTGACCTCATGAGCACTACAGGTCATAGTACATGTCAGACCATGATTGTTTGGCCCTGCATACAGTACACAATGACTAGTCTTTTCTGCTAATAGTAATAGCGTTAGTCATCTGCCCTGGTGCAAAATGTGCTAGTATGTTTGTTGTACCGTACTTGTAGTTCAGTAATACTGTACATGTATCAGTGATCACTCTGTGCACTCTGACTTTAGTGCTTTGAGCCGCCGGTTTAAAAAGGGTTTGCTGCTCTATAGACTTCATTGCGATCGGTTCGGCCAGTAACTCTGAGCTCCGCTGAGCCCGAGGAGACCTAAAAGTCGAAACAGCATAATGCTGTCCGGAGATTGAACAAAGGCTACACACACTGAACATGTAAAACAATAAGAGGACGGAAAAAGTGTTTAACTCTGAGTTTCATTGTTTGATCTAGCTCTGCCTCTCGGTATTGAGCACTCTCTTGCTTAGTCTTGGACAGCCTGGAACCTCTCGTTTCATCTACATGTAGAAGTAGGAGGCTAAGACTAGGAGCACGGCCTGAGAATGCACTAACCAGGCGTTGTTACCAACGTTAGTACTTAGTAGATCTAGGAAAGATATCCACGCAATAGAAATCGTTTTTTCTCCTCTTCCTCCCCTTTCATTGTACTGTACAGGCAAGCCCCTCGGTAGGCGTCCATAGCCTTTTATTTGGTCAATCATTGTCAATCAATCAATCAATCTAGACTTTGATACCGGTAAAGCGTGCACATGTACAACAATTAATTTTAGAAACGAAAAGTAATACCAGAGCTCATCACGAGTCCCTCGGGACTGGGAGAAGTAGACTAGCTCTATCTGGAGTTCTTTGATGCACAGATACAGGTCGGTATACATGTAAGTACACATTAATTCAGAGACTCAGGTTTTCAGCATTCTTCAGACTTCCTGGGGCCGGCCTGAGAAGCAGTAAAAATGCGGCCTGGTAACGTACACGTGTGCCAAAGGCAATGAATGGCCTCGTAATTGATTGGTAGATGAAAGTCCAAAGGCTTTCGTGCGTCTACCGAGAGACTTTGCGGCCGCATGAAAATGGAAGAGGAAAGAAGCCATGGCATTAGTTAGGAAGAAGACGGGAAAGAGAGGAGAGCATGATGGCTTCATGAAGTGCAATTCATATGCATAACGATTATTGTACCGTCTGCCAAAACCAGAACCCTGAGTCCGTGCAGAGAGCAACCCTACTGGTAACATACCCTGCTGCAGTGAAATGAAAAGGGAACCGGAACGGTGTAATGGAAGTGGGGGGGGGGGGGGTCGGGTGCTGGTCACTGCTGGAGCTGACCGGTTTCGGTTCTGTATTGGCTGGGGGCCGTTGCAAAGTGTGCTATACAAAGTGACAATGCTCGCGATAACTACCGGCAGGGCTATATGCAAACCGGCTACCATTTCCTATCCCTAGTCAACATCTACAAATACATGTAGAATGTACACAATAATGCAGACAACCAGACTGTTTCGACCAATGAGGCCTCATCAGTGCAACTCCGAGCTTAAAATAGGATTGAACTGTTAGCCATGGCTACGAGAACCACAGACAATTAAATGTACTAGCGCTGAGAGTGCTCAAACTGCTAGAAGCAGCGGGCAAAGCATAAAGCTAACCAGCGCAAGCACGTCCTATTGAGAGTGCTCTACAAGATCGAAAATGTAGAATGTACATGTATACGGCCTGACGCACGTCGATCGACCTTGGCCTGTAATGTATTGCAATGAAGATTGTTGTGTAGAAGGTCCGTTTTGCCTCCACAATCACGACCTTCACCGACTAAGTTCCCCATGTACACGTTACGACCATTTTTAAATGGTCGTAATACATGTACTTAAAGTACTTCAAGTAACTGGTATACCGGTAATGGAAACCAGCGAAGGCTAGTCTTCGTGTTTGCACTTGGGTCACCTCAAAGTGCGCGATATACAATCATGTACATCATGTACATGTATGTCGCTGCTTCATCAAGTTTTCAGTACAAGTCATGTACATGTACATGACTTGTACTGCCCTGTACATGTACATGTACATGACACACACATGTACGAGTGTTGTTTGTTTGTTTGTATTCTTTATTTAGAGTGGGAAGTCCAAAACAGGCCCTAGCTGAGTGCTATTCACAAGTTCGATCCGTTCTGCATTCTCACAACTAATAATGTTACTTAAT